TATAGGATGGAAAAGGGAATGTCAATTTACAAAAAGATGCATGTCAAAAAACTTTTGGGACACGAAAAGATAAATTGGGATCGATTATATTCTACTTTCAATTAGATAGGATGGAGAGGTTAAGGGTTTTAATAAAGTTTTTTTTGTTTGCTTTCAAAGATTATTAAATAATAAACCTTGATTTTGGAAAGTAGAAAACGCAGATTATCAATAACAGAATAAGGAATATAATCACCCCTATTTCCATAGCCCAGAGATAATATCATCCTTTTGGCTGTCTGTGTCCCTATCTACACAGACTTGTAAACCCATAAATACAGTCAGTGAGGTAGTAAAGTTAACTACTTTAAAGGCTACTACTAGAGATCTTTCTGGGAAAGGAACTGCATCTGATTAGGTAAATGCCTTCATACGCACTTCGGGACAAGAAAGATGAGGCCCCACGCATGTAACTGGAAGAAGGAAATGAAATAAACAACTAAACTGTTCTGGAAAAAAAGAAAGGAAGGACTGGGACTGGGATTCAATGTGAGAAAGTGAGAGAGAAGAAATTGAAGATATTGATGAGCAGCCTGGTAGGAGGGGTGGCTGTATAGCGCTCCCTGTGGCAGTGTCGCCAGAGAAACGTAAAACACAGGGATATCAAATGGGCCCCCTGCATTCACTCAAGCCATCAGTAGCACACCTACCAATGCCTTGGGTGAGAACGGAAGCTCCACGCAAGTGGGGCCCTCCTCCTTAATGGCAAGAAACCGAGCGTCTGTCACAGTACTTGCTGAATGGATACAGAAACGGTTTGTGGGAATAAAGGAATAGGGGCTGAGTTTGGGCCAGAGGAGGTAAAGCAAAACACTTAAGAAGAAGCAAGAACTCAGAATCAGAAGTGAGCATGGGGACATAAATTGTCAGGAATTCACAGAAATATTGGGGGAGATACTGGACTTCCCACAGAACATGGGATGGGAGATCAAAAAATTTTCCTCAAATCTCAAATGTTAGAATGACTTTATATGACACTGTGATCTTTCTGTCTTTCTCTGCTTATATATAAAATTTTAAAAAAATATTTAATAGTCATCATGCCATGCCATAAATAGTGTACCAGGCATTTTTACTTAGAAATAAATATAGATTTACCTCATATTTAATGGCTATAAACAATTTATTTAACCTTTTGTTAGTTTTAAACTTTTCACTATGAAAAACAATGCTGCACTAAACATTCTTATTAAGTAAAATGCTCACATTAATATAAAAATGGAAAAATTCTGTACCATTGCTGGAAAACAGAAGGAATCCATCACTAGGCAAGAAACTGGGGACATTCGGAAAGATGTTGTATGGACAGGCAAAGGTGAAGGGAAATACTATTCTGCTCTTCCACACATGAATGAAAAACCCAGTCAAAGAGTTACGAGGTAAGTGGATGGGATCCCTGAGTAGAACCTCCGCAAATTCCCGCAGCTGGTGTGGAAGTGCAGGTGAGGTCCTGGACCTGTGGGGCAGCGGTGGGGAAGGGGACAGTACAACAATCGGAGAACCACTCTACTACACAGGGCACTAAGTGGCAGGCCAGGGTGCTTACTCACCCACTTTTCCCCCTAGCACAGATGATGTGCTAAGAATAGAGAGGAAAGTGCTATACCAGGTTCAGAAAGGATGGTGATGACAATTAGGCAAGAGGGAAAGTCCTCATGCTAAGTTTATGCTACCATCACAAAGAGAGAGAGAAACTGTTGGGCACAGCACTGTCCACAGGAATCCCCTCCATATTTACTTACAACCAACTAGATCATCAATCTAGAAAAAAAAACTACAGAAATATAAAACTCCACTTTTCATGTCAGAAATAAAACTATTTGTACAGAAACCCACCTCAACTAGAACTTAGTAGAGACCACCCTGTTAGGATGTGAAAACAGAACAGCTTCCCTGACATTTGAAAAGAGCTGGTAGACCCAAAGAAAGAGGCTGGTCCAAGGAATTAGGGCAAGTTTCTCCCAATGAAGGAGACTCACTCTACAGAGCTTGAGAAAATGTTACAACAATTCTATTTTGAATTCTCCAAGAGTTTTGAGAGAATATTTCATAGGTGAAGACAAAGCAATATGAAATCAGACAAGATTGCTTTCAGTTGAAAAACACAATTACAGAATGAAAAAAATACCATGGAGGCAGTGAACACTAGATAGATTACTGCAGAAAACCAAATCCATAAAGTAGAAGAATTCGGAATATTCTTTCAGAACCTAGAAAAAAAGACTTGGAGATAAACATGATATGCAAAGATATAAAGGCCACGGAATTCTTAAGTATGTAGGATTGGAATTCTTGGAAGAGAAAAAGGAACAAATGAAGGAGAAGCAATAGAGAAGTAATAGGAAAAAGTCCTCTGAGCTTAGGCTAATTAAGTTTTAGCTAGTTAAATCTTCTCCTGATTGGGGGAAAAATACAGGATGTTCATTCATGCTGCTGAAAGGAATACATAGTGTAGCCAGTCTTTTTCTTTTGACATTTGCCAAATAGCAAAGAGGAAATCAGCATTTTTCCCTCGGGCAAAGAGACAGGAAGCTGAAAATATCAGCTGGCACTCCAAAGGACAATTATAGTGATTCCTTGGATGAGGTGTAAGGAGGAAGATAAAGAAAGATCTGAAAGTAGAAAGAAAGCCTGAATGGAAGCTTGCTGGTTTCCTGCCAAAGGTAAATGTGACTGAGAATCACCGTTCACCTCCAAGCAGACTATGAATTGTAGGCTCCTCCTAGGAAGTAAACAGTCTCACAGATGCCTTCTTGGCCAAACCAAACCAGCAATTTAACAGATGACACAGAATTTCTCACTATATGTATATAGCGATATATACATACACATATATATGATAATCATAGGTGACGAACCATTTTCTCCCATATAAATGCTTAGTTTATGTACATGCCTTTGTGGGTTATGTACTATTTGTTGTGTAATAAGGTCTGAATTCAAATTAAATTTAATTCAACACATATTAACTGTATACTTATATGCAAAACACATGTATGAATTCTGTGTTTCACACTGGTGTCAGGAGACTACAGAGTCTCATCAAATGTCAGTGTGAAATCAGATCATTTGGTTGTAATATATAAGGGTAGCACATTTGTTCTCATTCCTATGAAAGATATTTCAGTGGTTACTCTTGTTCCTACTTCATGAAAATGATGAAAAAGCATTTCTAAATGTCAGTTTGAAAGGATATTTTCAGGAAATCAAACACATACCTCAGAAGTCCATCTAAAGTCTCCTTTCACTTTAAGAACAGGATAAGATTTGCTTGACTCCCCTTTTCTATCTCTTGTCAAAGTTCAAGATTTTCCCCAAAATGGGGTTGGGAGGCAGTGGGAGTGTTTCAAATTCTCATGGCACCCAAAGGTTCCAAGCTCCTGCTGTATTTAACCAGGTGATGGGTTGTCTCACTCTCCTAGGGAGACTGTTGCTACTGACATGCAATGACAACACACACAGGGAATTTAGCCTCTTCCTTCTAAAAGGAAAAAAAAAGACCTAGTCACACAAAGCTTCCTACAGCATCTCTCTTCCAAAAGAAAGACATGGAAATGGGCTTGACCTCCCAGGTCCTGCTGCTTCTTAAGAACTCACGGATCACTTTAGGTCACTTCTCCCCTGTGGAAAAGGGAGTGAGAAGGCCAGAGGGTGAGAGAGCTAGGAGTCTTCCTTAACCCAATTTCTGCCGCTCAGAAGTGGGGAAGCAGTGTTCTCCTTCAGCAGCCAGAAGAGACATTGGGTTTCCTTGATTTCCATTGCTTCATTTCAAAGGTAATTTTCATGTCTATTTCAACACTTAGTGTCTAACATATCTGAAGATCTGGGGGATCTCAGTTTCCTCTTATGAAGATTTTTCACCTCATGATAAGTCACTGAGAAACTGAGCTTTGAGGTTTTACAGAAAATTCTCCTGGCCTTTCATTAGACCTAGAGCCAATGAATGGTAATGTTTTGGGCAGAGATGGACACCTTCATTTTATTTATTTAGATTTTTAAATTGTCCCTTGGGTCCATTCAAAATTACTCCTCACCCTCCCTCCTCCCAGAGTGGGGCCTCTATTGGACGCCTAAGTGTTAGTCATGTGCTGACAGTGTTTAATAGGATTTCAAACCAATATGCCTGCTGTATCATGTGCCCAGCTGATGGAAACTCCACAGCTATTTGCTACCATTCCTCCCAAGCCCTGCTCAGCTGATATCTGCAGCTAGGATTACACTTGAGTCAATCTTGGCCGCCCCTGGTGCTTCCCTAAGAGCCCTATCTCCATCAGTCTCGCTGTCTTAGTTGCCCTAATCAGGTAATCATTGCTGTGTTGTGTGTAAGGTGCTAAACCATAGAATTTCCCTCACACCCTTATTTGCTAAGTCCAGATGGCTTGGCTTCCACTTCAATTTTGGGTAAATCCTTCAGTTTTCTCATTATAATTGGAGATCTATTATTAATCCACATCCAATGAGAACCTGAAAGACTAGAGAGTCCTGACTAGGCTCCTTTGTCTGGATGCTGGACCAGACTCTGAACTCCAACCAGACAACCAGCACTCTCCGCAGCTCTCTTTCTAGTCGTCTGAAAGCCCCCAAGGGCACTCAAGAATTCTGCCCCAGCATCTGAGGGTTTGTTTGATTGGGTGGCGCTAATGATTTCAAAGGCTAGACATCTCAGGCATTCCATCAACTCACAGCGATTCTCAGACCACGTGTCATAGCCATTATTGAAAGACAGTCAACCCAGTGATCCAATAATAGTGCACAAAACTAATCTCGACTTTAGGTAATGGTTTCTCCTAGAGATGGGAAAATAATTTCCCCAGAGGTACCTCTAAATGATAAAACCTACTCTCCAGACTGGCTGCAAAGGATTCTGACTCTGAATGGTGTTCCCCTAGTAAACCATACTGACAAGCCATAGTCAGTTCCTCTCCCAAACCTCTGCCCCCAGTACACTCTTCAGACCTTACTTCCACAAATGCAATCAGTTTATTAACTGGACTGTGATAAGACACAAAAAGGAAATGACTCTATCTTTCTCCAAATACTGTTCTCTTCTCTGCTCTGAAGGACCTCCCTGCTCCACCACTGGAAGCACCGATTCCACAGTTTTGGTCACAGAGGGTTATAAAAAAAATTCCCATGGCTCACTTTCAGGGATTCGAAAGTCCAGCCCAGTCCAAATTAAAATTGCAATCTCACATCCAATACAAAGCTTCTCCCCTATCCTGTGCTCATCCTTCTCTCCAAGTTCAGGCCTGACATCTGCCTTGGGTTCCTGCAGTTGAGAGGAGGAAGTGGCCTGTGTATTTTGCTTTTTCTTTATTCTTTTCCATTTTTCCCCAGGATCAGAGTGAGGAAAGTGGTTGAAAGGAAAGGGGGAAAAGCCTACTTATTTAGCTGGTCGGAGTTTTCGTTTTCTGTCAGTTGTAAATGTCCTGTGTGGCTGGTGACCCAATGCTGGCTCCACTGTGGGGATACACAGGTTCTTCAGAAAAGGCTGCAGGGACTTCAGCACTACATGCTTTCCTGAAAGGTGGGAAAAGCACACTCTGGTTAAAACTTTGTTCACTCTCTCAGTTCTTCCTCCTGAAAGTATGTTCCAGGTCCCCTTTCCTTAGAAGATCACTGTCTTATGAGCAAAATGGCTCAAGCCTGGCTACCTTCTATGCCATCTACTGGTTTGGGGAGAAACCTCTACATCCTTGCCATGCCAAGTGGTAAAAATGTAGGCTGCCTCACCGGTGCTCTCTCTTCCTGCCCTGCCATTCCAGGTAGGGCCAAAGGACTTTCTCTGTTCTTCAGGCCAGAGGCAAACACAAGTGTCTATGTTCACTTCTTCCCCCAATACAAGCATTACATATAAGTTTGCTAAGAACCGTCCTATCATATTCCACTCTGGTGTCAGCATGGATAGGGTTAACGCTTTTTTGTAGCTCAGCAAGCATCCAGCTGGGGATGTGGGAAGAGCAATTTTGAATGGATCCAAGGGACAATTACAAGCCTCCCAATTGTAGACAGCCTCCATTGCTCTAAGTGGGTCTCTTAGCGTCCCACCCCCCCTGGGCTGGGCAGGGGGTAGGGGAAGTGAAAAGCCACACTTCTCCACCAATAGGCCTACCTCTCCTTGCTATAAATTCCCCTATGTAAACAAATGCACCTAATTCAATGAATTCAGAAGTTTCTAATTTCTCTCTACAGGCTGGTAGCTGTGATGAGGCTTGCAGGAACAATTTAGCCACATTTTGGTGTCTCACGGAGATGTGTCTAGCAAACACTCTTTAGAAGGTGAATGTATTTATCAACCATGGTCTTCAGATTCAGAGTATTAACCAAAACAAAAGTTCTACAGCCTTATAGGAAAGGCCCATTCAATGCCCTGTTGCAATAGCAAGAAAGAGAAGCAGCATACATAGTGAGGATGTATCATATGTGCATTTAACTTAAACTGTAAACACTTGGGTTGGGGAGAGAGAAAGAGCAAGGGAAAGGAGGGAGGAAGGAGTAGAGGAAGGGGGAGAGGGAATGAAAAAATGAGCAGAAAAGAACAATTAGGGGCTGGCCCCTTGGCTAAGTGGTTAAGTTCCCGTGCTCCGCTTCGGTGGCCCAAGGTTTCGCGGGTTCAGATCCTGGGCGCGGACATGGCACCGCTCATTAGGCCATGCTGAGGTGGCGTCCCACATGCCACAACTAGAAGAATCCACAACTAAAATATACAACTATGTACTGGGGGGATTTGGGGAGAAAATAAAGCAGAAAATAAAAGATTGGCAACAGTCGTTAGCTCAGGTGCCAATCTAAAAAAAACAAAAAACAAAAGAAAAGAACAATTAAAATGATGAGGGTGAATCTGCATACCATTTATAAGTAAACTTTGCAAGCCTGTGTTCCCAGAGCAAGCAAGAGATGGTACATAAGAATTGACCATTCTCTCCGAATCCCAGGGCTGTGCCTTCTGAAACATAAGCATCTCTCTGTGCAGAGTGTGATTCCAGTGTTTAAAGATACCTTTTTTTCATTCAATATATAGCCACTGGGATGGTTAATTGTACGTGCTAACTTGACTGGGCCACGGGTGCCCAAATATTTGGTGAAACTTTATTCTGGGTATGACTGTGAGAGTGCTTCAGATGAGATTAACATTTGAATGAGTAGACTGAGTAAAGCTGATTGCTCTCCCTAATGTGGGTGAGCCTCATGCACTCAGTTAAAGGCCTGAATAGAAAAAAAAGGCCGATTTTAGAGGGCATTCCTCCTGCCTGACTGCCTTGAGCTGGGACATCAGTCTTTTCCTGCCTTTGGACCTGAACTAGAAATCGGCTCTTTCTGGGTCTCAAGCACGCTGGCATTCAGACCAGAAGTTAAGCTTTCAGCTATCCTGGTTCTCAGGCTGGAACTATACCACCGGCTGTTCCTGGGTCTTCAGCTTGCTGACTGCAGATCTTGGGACTTACCAGCCTCCATAATCATGTGAGCCAATTCCTTATAGTAAATCCTCCTATATATATATATATATACACATACATACTCATATACTTTCTGTACATTCTCTCTCTCTCTCTCCACACACACACACCCTATTTGTTCTGTTTCTCTGGCAAACCCTGACTAATTCAACCCATAAAGACAAGCCAATTAATTCATCCAATGACCAACTGAAGAAATAACCCACGTCAACTCTGGAGGAAAAACTGGCCATCCTGAACTTACACAGAGGTGTTCCAAACTGTACTTTTGGGAGCAATTTAAAGAATTTCCAAGGGTAATTTGATTTTAGGCTTACTTGCTACCTTTCTTCAAATGGTTAAATTTATTCACTTGTAAAGTTTTTGAATGTACTAATGTCTATCTGTACACACACACACACACTCACACACACATACATATTTGGGGGGAAGAGCGGAGAAGCAGGAGGAGGAGTGGGAAGAAGTAGATGGCTATTCTTTAGCTCTTATGATCTGAACAGGGAAGACAGGCAGAATCAGCAAATCTAAGTGGTAGGCCTCACAAATTAGTTCTAGCCTCTTCCCTAGTTGATTTGTGTCACTCCAAGTATTGTTTTGCTAAAGTGGAACAACTTCAGCTATTTCTGGGGTTTAGCTTTGTTACTCTAGTTGATTAACAGCTGTAACTGCTCAACAACACATGCTTTTCCCTATACCCATGAAATGAAGAAGCCCTTGGTTAAGTCCTCCGAATATTTTAAAGAGTAAATCCGGGTGAGTATGAACATGACTTCTTCACTTTTGTCTTCTTTGACATTGAAGGAATGCCTAACTGAATCTTTGAATCGTATGCCATGTACACATGTAGGATGTTCAATAAAGCTCAATAACTAATCAGATTAGTTAACCAAAGTGAAGGCCATGATTGCAGAAATTAGATTGCTAATCCAGGTATGACCCAAGGATTCTCCCTCAGTTCTACTGGCTGAGGATATGAAGCCATGATAGAGTACAGACTCTGGAGCCTGATTACCTGGGTTGGAGTCCTGACTTTGCCTGTTTAACCTGTGTGACCTTGAAAAGGGACTTCACTGATGGATCTCAGTTTCTTCATCTGTAAAATGGGACACTAATAACACCTACATTTAGGTTTCTGTGAGGATCAAATGAGTTAATATACATATTAAGTGCTTAGACCAGTGTATATACTGGAATATTTGAGCAATTGGCTCCACCGCATAACAGATGAGTGTTTTTGAATAAAGCCCATCATCATCAGGTGCATGTTTGTAAAACGGGGATAATAACAATACCTGCATCACAGAGTTGTTAGGATTTAATAAGGTAATAAATGTATGAATGTTTTACAAATCTTAGATATGATTGACATTAGCTGCCATTTTTGAAAAGCCACAAAGAAATTGAGAGGACATGTTAGGATTGAAAAAATATAGGGCTTAAGGTGTGACTTGAAGGACTGAAGTTTCAATAATGAAGAATCTTGTAATAATGAGAATCATTACTGAAAAAGAATCTTGTCAAAATTGGTAGAATTGATTTTCTTAGGACTGACATATAACTACTAAAGGCCTTTTACAGGGCAATGGATTTGACATCTTTATATGAAAGCATTTTCTGCAATATGCTTAATTTCTCAGAACTAAAAGTTCAATTGCATGACCCGTTAAGTGAGTTTTTATCAAAGATCTTTAGCAATTTCTGTACCCTAGTTGTGGATACCCTGGTTCTGTCCCTTGGACCTTGACAATTCATTGGGGAGGTATTTTTTAAAGCTTTGATACTTGGGATATGGTCTTTCCAAAATAACGCTGGGCAGAGAGTTGTAATTTCAATATAATGAGACTTTGGGGATTTTCAGAAAACGTTTACTAAGGGCTCTACTCTGGACCACCTGATGTGATTATTCAGAGAAAATCCTGGGAGATCTCACCAAATAAATGCTGAATAATTTGATTCTCTTCTACAGCTAGGCATTTTTGGCATAGATTCTTTGGTTATAATGGACAAGTAAAGAACCCCAATGCAGATAGCTTTCAATTATCCACAATTGAGATAGGGTTGAGTAAGGCACTGTTAGAATTTACCACACACCCCACTGCCTGAGGGGAAAGGAAAAGCTCTTCCTAGGTTAAAGTCACCTAATTACTGGTATTCTTTCAGACTGTTATGCCCTCATACTCCCCCATTTGACTTATTGTTAACATTTCCCTTGATCTTCTCAGGACTCCAAGCCCTCGGCTTTATGCTGTACTCTCCTAAACCCATTTTGAGATTTCCTCAATTTACCAACCCACAGCATGCAGTTCCTTCACTTTACAGAACTCATTCAGGCCTCTGCACTCTCAACTTGGCTACCACCTTAGCTTAATGTTCCAAAAGCCAAAAGCCGCAGACAGAAAATGCTACTGACACTAGTTCTAGCTTTGCAAGAGGGAGAAAATGTAATAAGCCTGGGGCAAGTAAAATATAAATAATTTTGCACATTATGAGAAGCAACTTATGTGACCTTAGTTACTTCTAAGAGTTAGTGAAATTACTTTTCTCTTAACTGTGTCTAATTATTAGAGCTATGTGAATTTGTTGACGATTATTTGGAGAAAAGCACACACACACACACACACACACACTGACAGATATACAGAATGTCTATTAATAGAGAAAGAGAGTCATGAAATATATTTATACAATTAACTTACTGAGTGTGAACTGTGAAAACAAAGTATGGATAATTATACGTATATAACTATATATATAATTAATTATATATATATAATTTTTGGACAAGTGGATAAAATCCCCAGCTCTTACAAATGTGTTTCTTATGAGCAAACAAATCCCATATCATTGTTTTCCAATGACTAACCAAGAGTTAGTCATCTTTAGAACCTAATGGCTCATATTTTTTTATTTGTCCCTCGATGGATAGTAGGTGAAGTACATCTCTGTGTGTGTGTACTCAGAGTCTTATTTCAAGCATAACTTTTTTCTCCTTGAAATAAATTTAGAGAGCAGGCCAATAACTGTCCTTTTTACTATCTTCAATTAAAACATTCTTCAGTTGCA